AATGCTGGAACTCGTGCACTTTTATTTACAAGGCTCTTTTACAGCGCCTGGTCGCGCTCAAATAACATTAACTAAAAATATCAAAAAGGCAACAGAAACAGATGATAATTAATAGGCTACTCTTTCCACTGGACACAGCTTACTGGATACAGATGTAGTAATCCTCTTCCCGCTGAAAACAGCATCGCTGGATACAGTTTATAGACCCACTCTTTCCGCTGGATACAGCTTTCAGAAGTCACTTTCTCCCAGGATACGTGCACGCGCTCCCAGTCTCTCGCTCACACACTAATGTAAAGCACGGCCCACTTATATGCGGTCTCCTCACGCCAAGATTGAACTTTTACTGAAATCACAGACAGGTGTTTGTCATTTGAACTTGACTCACTTGTTCACCGCTTAGCTCCGTCCCCTCCCCACTCTACAGACTTCGCTGAACCACGCCCATTGCATTTATTAGTGGAGACAGATGTTCGGAAATAGAATTGAGCGAATAAACATGGACACATTTTTAGTATCATCATTTATTTCAGGAACCTTAATGTAAATAAAATCAAAATATATGTGACACAAAAAAGGGACAGTGTTAGAGCTCCCCCTAAATGTCTCAAAGTAGGCTTTTTTTGGGCGAAAAATAAAGTTTCTCCAATCTTCTCAAAACTCTGGATTCTGATAGAGGGCCATGAGACTTAGACCTGAGTGCAAAAATGGAGGCTCTAGACCCTTCCCGAGCTGAGATATCGAAACTCAAAAATTCGACCCGAAAAAAAAAAAACGACAGTGGTACCCCTTTCGTTTTTTTTTTCGGGCGAAAAATTTAGGTTCTTCAATCTTCTCAAAACTCTGGATTCTGATAGAGGGCCATGAGACTTAGACCTAAATGCAAAAATGGAAGCTCTAGACCCTTCCAGAGCTGAGATATCGAAACTCAAAAATTCGACCCGGAAAAAAAAAACGACAGTGGTACCCCTTTCGTCTTTTTTTTCGGGCGAAAAATAAAGGTTCTTCAATCTTCTCAAAACTCTGGATTCTGATAGAGGGCCATGAGACTTAGACCTAAATGCAAAAATGGAAGCTCTAGACCCTTCCAGAGCTGAGATATCGAAACTCAAAAATTCGACCCGGAAAAAAAAAACGACAGTGGTACCCCTTTCGTCTTTTTTTTCGGGCGAAAAATAAAGTTTCTCCAATCTTCTCAAAACTCTGGATTCTGATAGAGGGCCATGAGACTTAGACCTGAGTGCAAAAATGGAGGCCCTAGACCCTTCCAGAGCTGAGATATCGAAACTCAAAAATTCGACCCGAAAAAAAAAAACGACAGTGGTACCCCTTTCGGTTTTTTTTTTTCGGGTGAAAAATTAAGTTTCTCCAATCTTCTCAAAACTCTGGATTCTGATAGAGGGCCATGAGACTTAGACCTGAGTGCAAAAATGGAAGCTCTAGACCCTTCAAGAGCTGAGATATCGAAACTCAAAAATTAGACCCGAAAAAAAAAACGACAGTGGTACCCCTTTCGTTTTTTTTTCTCGGGCGAAAAATTAAGTTTCTCCAATCTTCTCAAAACTCTGGATTCTGATAGAGGGCCATGAGACTTAGACCTAAATGCAAAAATGGAGGCTCTAGACCCTTCCAGAGCTGAGATATCGAAACTCAAAAATTCGACCTTTAAAAAAAACGACAGTGGTACCCCTTTCGTTTTTTTTTTCGGGCAAAAAATTTAGGTTCTTCAATCTTCTCAAAACTCTGGATTCTGATAGAGGGCCATGAGACTTAGACCTGAGTGCAAAAATGGAGGCTCTAGACCCTTCCAGAGCTGAGATATCGAAACTCAAAAATTCGACCCGAAAAAAAAAACGACAGTGGTACCCCTTTCGTGTTTTTTTTTTCAGGCGAACAATTAAATTCCTCCAATCTTCTCAAAACTGTGGATTCTGATAGAGGGCCATGAGACTTAGACCTGAGTGCAAAAATGGAGGCTCTAGCCCCTTCCAGAGCTGAGATATCAAAAATCAAAAATTCGACCCGAAAAAAAAAAAAACGACAGTGGTACCCCTTTCGTTTTTTTTTTTTCGGGCGAAAAATTAAGTTTCTCCAATCTTCTCCAAACTCTGGATTCTGATAGAGGGCCATGAGACTTAGACCTGAGTGCAAAAATGGAGGCTCTAGACCCTTCCAGAGCTGATATATCGAAACTCAAAAATTTGACCTGAAAAAAAAAACGACAGTGGTACCCCTTTCGTGTTTTTTTTCCGGGTGAAAAATTAAGTTTCTCCAATCTTCCCAAAACTCTGGATTCTGATAGAGGGCCATGAGACTTAGACCTGAGTGCAAAAATGGAGGCTCTTGACCCTTCCAGAGCTGAGATATTGACATCCCACGTAGCATTAATTGCCATTATAAATATCTCAATATCTCAGCTCTGGAAGGGTCTAGAGCCTCCATTTTTGCACTCAGGTCTGACCAGAGTTTCAAGAATATCAGAGCCACTCAAAATTTCGACCTGAAAAAAACGACAGTGGTACCCCTTACGTTTTTTTTTTTGGGCGAAAAATTAAGTTTCTCCAATCTTCCCAAAACTCTGGATTCTGATAGAGGGCCATGGGACTTAGCACTGGAAGGGTCTAGAGCCTCCATTTTTGCACTCAGGTCTGAGATATTGAGATATTTATAATGGCATAAATGCTACGTGGGATGTCAATATCTTAGCTCTGGAAGGGTCTAGACTAGAGCCTCCATTTTTGCACTCAGGTCTAAGTCTCATGGCCCTCTATCAGAATCCAGAGTTTCAAGAAGATTGGAGAAACTTATTTTTTTCGCACAAAAAAAGTGGGGGGGTTGAGTTTCTCTGATCTTCTTGAAATTCTGGATTCTGATAGAGGGCCTTGAGACTTAGACCTGAGTGCAAAAATGGAGGCTCTAGACCCTTCCAGAGCTGAGATATTGAGATATTTATAATGGCATAAATGCTACGTGAGATGTCCATATCTCAGATCTGGAAGGGGCTAGAGCCTCCATTTTTGCACTCAGGTCTAAGTCTCAAGGCCCTCTATCAGAATCCAGAATTTCTGGATTATGGAGAGCAAGTGAACGATGCATTGTCCGTTTTTGATGATCCAAAATCCATATTTAGGGAACTTCAAAAGTCTCCACACGACCACAGCCGATGAATAAGGGTCTTTATAGCGAAATGATCAGTGGTTTTCAGGAATATGAAAATATATACACTCACTTTTTAACTCCAAATGCTCAGCTCTTCAAAGCACATTCACAAGATGGGTTTTATATATATATATATATATATATATATATATATATATATATATATACACACACACACACACACACACACTCACTCACTTACTCAATCACTCACAAATTCACTCACTCACATAATCAGTCAATCACTCACTTAATCACTCAATCACTTACACACTCTCAAATCACTCAGTTACACACTTACTCACTCAATCACTCACACACTCACTGAGACAGTCACTCACTCACACACTCACTCAATTACTCATTCACTCACTCTCTCAATCACCCACTCAAATCACTCACTCAATCAATCACTCAAATCACTCACTTACTCAATCAATCACTCACTCAAACACTCACTTACTTAAATCACTATCTCACTCACTCAATCACTTAATCAATCACACACACACACACACACACACTCACTCACTCACTCAAATCATTCTCTCACTCACCTAATCACTCAATCAATCACTCACTCACTTCACTCCCTCAATCACTCACTTAATCACTCGCTCACTTAATCACTCACTCAATCACTCACTCACTTCACTCCCTCAATCAATTTATCACTCACTCACTTAATCACTCACTCACTTCACTCCCTCAATCACTCACTTAATCACTCAATCACTCCCTCACTTAATCACTCAAACACTCACTTACTTAAATCACTCACTCACTCAATCACTTAAATCAATCAATCAATCACACACACACACACACACACACACTCACTCACTCACTCAAATCATTCTCTCACTCACTTAATCACTCAATCACTCACTCACTTCACTCCCTCAATCACTCACTTAATCACTCGCTCACTCAATCACTCACTTAATCACTCACTCAATCACTCACTCACTTCACTCAATCACTCACTCACTTAATCACTCACTCACTTCACTCCCTCAATCACTTAATCACTCACTTCACTCCCTCAATCACTCACTTAATCACTCACTCACTTCACTCCCTCAATCACTTAATCACTCACTTCACTCCCTCAATCACTCACTTAATCACTCACTCACTTCACTCCCTCAATCACTTAATCACTCACTTCACTCCCTCAATCACTCACTTAATCACTCACTCACTTCACTCCCTCAATCACTTAATCACTCACTCACTTCACTCCCTCACTCACTCAATCACTCACTCACTTAATCACTCACTCACTTCACTCCCTCAATCACTTAATCACTCACTCACTTCACTCCCTCAATCACTTAATCACTCACTTCACTCCCTCAATCACTCACTTAATCACTCACTCACTTCACTCCCTCAATCACTTAATCACTCACTTCACTCCCTCAATCACTCACTTAATCACTCAATCACTCCCTCACTAGAATCACCCTCACTCAATCACTCACTCACTCACTCACTCAATCACTCACACACTTCACTCACTCAATCAATCAATCACTCACACACACTCACTCACTGAAAATGACTGAATGTTTCGCTAGAGAAGAACAGTATTTGTCAGCTGGCCTTTTGAAGTTACGGATTTGAAGTTCATCATTCACTTGCACTGGATGGAAAAACAATTAGTAAAGGTTTTTCTCTAAAACCTTTTTTTCTTTTTGGCTGAGGAAACAAATTCATACTCATATCCATCTTGAAATGCCTTGGGCTGAGAAAATAATCAGGGAATTTAAATTTTTGGGCACATTTAAACAATGTGTAAAACTTGACTTAATGTTTAAGAAGCATCATAGCCACTATACAAAGATCAGAATCTCACGTTTATTTGATTTTTTATTTGATTTTTTTACATTGATTAGTATTGGCTGTTACAGTAGTTTGATGTAAAACCATGTTTATTGGAGGCAGAGCGTGTGGAAATGGGCATATTTCTCATGACCGCTCACACACACACACACACACACACAAACACACAAGAAGCCTGGAGGTTTTGCCCTCTCTGATCCTTTATATCATTTAACAACAGAAACAATCTTGCGCTCCAAATAAAACAAAAAGATGAATTAAAAAAGTAAAATGATCCCACTGACTAGATTTTAGATTCTCAAGAATGAAGATCCGCCCAGTGATACTTTGAATATTATAAATCCATATATCTTTGTGAAAACGTAAATATGCAATGAAGAATCCTTCACTTCTGAACTACAGGCAAAGAAATGTTCAGTTAAACTAGAACCATCTAAACATATCATACAAAATATATCCACACACTAACACACTTCTCATGAACCTGAACATAGTTGAAGATTTGATCGAATACTTGAAATGATTCTGATACATATCTGAAAATGTGAAGTACTAAAATAATAAGAGGACTGCGATGACAAAAGGTCCAAAACAGTCCAACAGTGGTGATTCACACGTGGCAGATTTCCCTCAGACAGTAGATGTGTCCTGCATTCATGTCTCTGGCATTGTACAATAAAGGCACTGATCTTTCTCGAGGCCCGAGGACGAAGGGCCGCTAGCTATTCTCAAAGTCCTCTAGTGTGTCAGCAAAAATCAAAACTCAATCACTGAACTCGCTCCTCTCTAATGTTCTGGCGTGTCGGGGCATTCGCTCCGTGGTTCGGTGTGACTCCACCTCATGACTGCCTCAGATAAGTGTGTGTGTCCGGCCCGAGGCAGACGGGCTCTCAGGACGAGAGGATTTGGACGTAGTTTGCAGGATAGAGACCCGTCTCTCCGCTGGACAGCTGTCCTTTACACCAGCCCTGCTCGTCCTCCTCGCCCAGCTTCATTAACTCTTCACCTGCACACACACAAACACACACACATCTCCTTCAGGCACGTTCACAACTATATCAGCGTTCACACCAGTGGACGATATCGCTCTGTAACAGCCAATCAGAATCCATCCCGATTTGATGTTTTTATCGCTCATGAGGTGTGTACTCTGATAATCTTTTATATATATATATATATTAGGGTTGTCAAACGATTAATCACGATTAATCGCATCCAAAATAAAAGTTTGTGTAAGCATAATATATGTGGGTGCACTGTGTATAATTATATATATAAATACACACACATGCTTGTATATATTTAAGAAATATTGTCATGTATATACTGTATATAGATTTATATATAATTTATATTATATATAAATAATATTTTTTTTTCTTAAATATACATGCGTGTGTGTGTGTGTATATATATACATACATACACACACACAAAATAATTATACACAGTGCACCCACATTTATTATGTAAACACAAACTTTTATTTTGGATGCAATTAATCGCGATTAATCGCTTAACAGTCCTAATTTAGAGTATTTTTTAAAAACTTGATCATTAAAAAAATTTATATATTTTTTCTTAAATATACATGCATGTGTGTGTATATATATGTATATATATACATATACATATATACACACAAAATAATTATACACAGTGCACCCACATTTATTATGTAAACACAAACTTTTATTTTGGATGCAATTAATCGCGATTAATCGTTTAACAGTCCTAATTTAGAGTATTTTTTTAAAACTTGATCATTAAAAAAAATTATATATTTTTTTCTTAAATATACATGCATGTGTGTGTATATATATGTATATATATATACATATACATATATACACACAAAATAATTATACACAGTGCACCCACATTTATTATGTAAACACAAACTTTTATTTTGGATGCGATTAATCGTTTGACAGCCCTAATTTAGAGTATTTTTTTAACTTGATCATTATCGTCCTTGGTGTGAACGGGCCTTTATTCTTCCATGTGACGCATATAAGGTATAAATTTATGTCAGCCGGTCATAACTAACCCGAATAGGTTTATTTTGTGATTATAACCAGCTGACTTTATTTTTCCCACTATATCTCGGTTCCATATCGTGCAATATTACAGAATAATCGCAATCAGTTGATATCTAATTGCATGCTCATGCTCAGTATTTTTACATTCATCTGACACTCATTTAAAAATCACTGATACTTTAATAAATTAACTTTAATATTTAGCAAATTTCAAAAAGGATACCCATATTTTAAATATTTTAAATATCAAATCTCATCGAATTTGTATGAATGATAGTGTACAGTATTGCACATGATATTTAATATTTACACTACCGTTCAGCATTAAACTGATTAAAATTAACAGGAGGCATTTATCATTTTACAACAGGTTTCCATTTCAAATAAATGCGGATCTTTTGAAGATTCCTGACAACATGCATCACAGTTTTTGCTGCTTCATATTTTTTGTGGAAACAGTTTTCAACATTGATAAGAATCATGCGACACTGAAGACTGGATTAATGATGCTGAAAATTTGCATCAGAGAAATAAATTACATTTAAAATATATTCAAATAGAAACTACAGAGCCCCAAACGGACATGGTGATGGAAAACAAATATGAGATGGGAGGAAAAATAATAAATCAATGCTTTAGTGTTCTGTTGCCAAGGTTTTGTATTCTTTGCAAGTGAACCGTTTATTATTTTTCCTCCCGTCTCATATTTTTTTCTTTAACATGTCCCTTTAGGGGCGCCATAGAAAACATTTCTTTAAAGTGTTTTAATATTTTATAGTTTTTGATCAAATGGTGAGCAGAAGAAACGTTTGAACAGTAGTGCACGTTATAATGTGTTTCGGTATTTGTATTGTACTTTATCTTTTCACAAAACATGGAATTTGGGAATTAATGGCGAACATTTATGGGTTTACAGCCACGAAAATAATTACTGGTTTATTGGGTTTGGATATATTGGATATATTGATAGTGTATCCATAATGATCCCTTCAACCGAATGGCTCCACACTGAGCAGTGAGGGACTGAGTGAAGTGAAGTCTTGCAGAGTCAACACAGAGTTTGGCAAGCACTGCAATGATCTCACTTTTGGTTTGCACACCCTTGTGCCTGTGCGGACACGTTAAGCATGAAACCGGGCTTCAAGCTCAATTCGTCTCTATTAAATATTAAAAGTAAATGTGCCTGAAATATTCTAGTGTGTACTCAAGGAACTTCAACTGCCTCAAAAACTGAAATGTTTCCTTCTTAGAGTTTTTGTAGGAACTTAACAGCTCTTCCCTTTTTTCCTTCATTTAAAAAGTTTCACAGATAAGAAAATGGAACTTCTGAAAAATATGTTTAGAATGATATACTCTTACATTAGATGAAGACAGCATTTCTACAATGGCATTGGTAACTGAAAATGTTTTTTTTTTTTGCTATATCCACACCACTAGGTGTCAGTAAAGTCTAAGATTACTGTCATGTTGGTCAGTACGATAATAAGTAACAAAAATACTGAAGTACACTTTTAAAGGTGAAGCTTGTAGTTTTTGCAACACAAATGGCACCTAGTGCCAAATGGCACAAAAATCAAAAAGCATATTTTCCAACAACCTTGCAAATGCCCCTCATACACATCATGCCCTCCCCAACTCAAACATCACAAACAGCACTGCTTGTGAAGGCAGGTCTCAACAGGTAAAAGTAAATGCCTCAAACTCTCATCCTGTTACAGTAGCCACACCCCAAACTCTCATCCTGTTACAGTAGCTACGCCCCAAACTGTCATCCTGCTACAGTAGCCACGCCCCAAACTGTCATCCTGTTACAGTAGCCACACCCCAAACTCTCATCCTGCTAAAGTAGCCACGCCCTAAACTCTCATCCTGTTACAGTAGCCACACCCCAAACTCTCATCCTGCTAAAGTAGCCACGCCCCAAACTCTCATCCTGTTACAGTAGCCACACCCCAAACTCTCATCCTGCTAAAGTAGCCACGCCCTAAACTCTCATCCTGCTAAAGTAGCCACGCCCTAAACTCTCATCCTGCTAAAGTAGCCACGCCCTAAACTCTCATCCAGTTACAGTAGCCACGTCCCAAACTCTCATCCTGTTACAGTAGCCACGCCCCCACTCTCAGCCTGCTACAGTAGCCACGCCCCAAAGTCTCAGCCTGCTACAGTAGCCACGCCCCAAACTCTCATCTTGCTAAAGTAGCCACGCTCCAAACTCTCATCCTGGTACAGTAGCCACGCCCCAAACTCTCATCCTGTTACAGTAGCCACGCCCCAAACTCTCATCCTGTTACAGTAGCCACGCCCCAAACTCTCATCCTGTTACAGTAGCCACGCCCCAAACTGTCATCCTGCTAAAGTAGCCACGCTCCAAACTCTCATCCTGTTACAGTAGCCACACCCCAAACTCTCATCCTGCTAAAATAGCCACGCCCTAAACTCTCAGCCAGTTACAGTAGCCACGCCCCAAACTCTCAGCCAGTTACAGTAGCCACGCCCCAAACTTTCATCCTGGTACAGTAGCCACGCCCCAAACTGTCATCCTGCTACAGTAGCCACGCCCCAAACTCTCATCCTGGTACAGTAGCCACGCCCCAAACTGTCATCCTGCTACAGTAGCCACGCCCCAAACTGTCATCCTGTTACAGTAGCCACGTCCCAAACTCTCATCCTGTTACAGTAGCCACACCCCAAACTCTCATCCTGCTAAAGTAGCCACGCCCTAAACTCTCAGCCAGTTAGAGTAGCCACGCCCCAAACTCTCATCCTACTACAGTAGCCACGTCCCAAACTCTCATCCTGCTAAAGTAGCCACGCCCCAAACTCTCATTCTGCTAAAGTAGCCACGCCCCAAACTCTCATCCTGTTACAGTAGCCACACCCCCAAACTATAGGTTGAGCTGAAAAGTGATTGACAGATCTGAGTAGACTGTACTCAATGTTTTGATGGTGCCTGAGAGACCCACTTTTTACACTTTTGGGGGAGATAAACCAAGGAAAGGCATACTAATAGTCAATGAACAAACTGGGTTCAGAGAATTTATTTTAACAAAAAATAAAAATAAATAAATAAAAATCACCACATTAAATCTGCTTGAGTGAAAAAAAAAAAAAACAAACAAAAAAAAAAACAACCAGCAGGCATCACTCTTGGCATGGCATGTCTGTTAATGGATATAGTGTAAAAATAATGAATTCTGCCAGTTTCTAGAGTAACACGGCTAATAAATGACCAGATTAAGCTCTATATGATATTTAAAACACAGATGTAGATCTCGCTCTTCTAGCAAACAAAACCAAACGTGAGGTTTCATTATCCTTGAGCTGTAAAGATTTGATTTACCCTCATTCTTCATTAGGAATGTGTCTGCTTTAAAGAATCCTGCTAATCTAACCAGAAGACCAAAGAGATTTAGCATTAGAGTCAGACCGGTCTCCTAAGCTGGATCTACAGTAAATGGCCTATACCAATCAGAGGGGAGGATTGATGCCGTTTAGTGACTTTTGGGAAGCCTGTGAATTATTCACACATGCAGGGAACAGCTGATCAGACTATTGATTTATTAGGAAAGTCCACAGATCAGCATCTGATGTGAACTTTGAAACTTTAGAAAAACTGAGGAATGTTAAAAACACGAGTTAAAAAAAAAAAAAGTGGAATATTTTCCAATGGAAAAAAAACCCTGTTGTTCCCATCTTTTAGAGTGTTCATACTTGGTTCTCTTGGTCCGAAACAAAAAAAAAAAAGAAGATACAGTTAGGGTGTGTTCACACTTGGCATGTTTGGTTTGATTAAAGCAAACTCCGGTGCGATTGCCCTGTTAGTGCGGATCTTTTAAATAAGCGTGAACGCTGCCATCCAAAACCTGACCATTTTTCGCCTGAATAATGAACGCAACATGGACCAAAGACATCTAAACGAACCAAAAACAGGACATGATGTCATAAGAACGACCCTATAGTGCTGAAGAATACCGTTTTTTTCCCTCATCAAAGTCGTGATATTGCCCACCACAGTTCGGTTCGGGCATCAGACAGATCTTCGTTTGTGTGTGTGTGACGGAGGGATTCCTGCCACTGTTTTGACTCTTTTACATATTTGATAAGCTCTTCATAAGTTCTCAGATGGTAAAAATAGCATCATAGGCACATAAAACGAGTGCATTTATCCCAGCACACAGCATAGTTTTGTTTAAGTTTGTTCCGTCACAAAATATTTGATATAAAAGCCGGCCAGGTTGTGAGCATATCCCTATGCCTTTAGGTTCGGTGTTAAAATGCCAATGTGAACGGTTAGCGAACCAGGACTAAATGAGTTCGTTGCGTTCGAATGGCAGTGTTCACACTTATTTTAAATGAACCACACTAACAGAGCAAGTCTTTTTTAGTCCAACCAAACACACAAGGGTTATGGTAACACTTTACAACAAGGTTCCATCTAACATTATTTAACTACATTAGTTAACATCAACTAACAATGACAAATACTTCTAATTAAAGCATTTACTCATTTAATTTAATTTATTATTTTCCTAATACATTATTAAAATTAAAAGTTGTGAGCTAACAAACTACTAACAAACCACACACCAGGACGAATATCAGCGCGCGTTATTCGTCAGCGTTTTTCAACGCGTTTGTTGTGTTCACACCCAAGCGATTTTCGCTGACGATGAGCCGAGTGAACATGCAAATTCATTCCCTAACATTAGATGGCGCCCATTTACCACTCCATAACAGTCATCTTTTATATCATATGTGTAGTCCCTGTCACGATTGTCATATACAGTAGTTCTTTATGTTCTAGCACCATCGAGAACAGCAGCTCTACATTCCTCTGGCCTTGTATCTTCCTCGTCTTATTTCTTCCTAGCTGTGTAGACGGCGACGCGCGTATCTTCTTCATCGTAGCATATGTGTGCAGCTCGGCAAGACCGTTTTGTTTTTGAGCGCCCTCAAGTTGTGTTTTACTGTCTCTTCAGAAGCTCCAAACACGTGAGCAAAAGCGGCAATTTCATTGGTAGGATAGTTTTTGACGCGGCGCGTCAAACTAAAAAAAATGAACCAAAGGCGTTTTTAAAAAAAATAACACTTTAACGCGTGGTGTTTTACGCGTCAGTGTGAACACTCACAGTGGTACCCTATGTTTAGTCACGAGGCGTTAAACGTCGGCGAATAACGCGCGCGAAATTCGTCCCGGGGTGTGAACAGGCCTTTAGTAGTATTTACATTTTTCAATCAGTTGTATTTTAAGATGAACAAATCCTGTACAAATGTATTGCTTATTAGGGCTGTCAATATTCCTCTATAATACTATTCGAATTCCATTCCATATTTTATGTAATATTCGAATATTAAATGCTCAAATTCATTCTATTATTAATATTTACGACATTACACATTCTTATGGATCGCCAATGCCACTATCGCCTGTGGTTGTTGTTACACATTCTGCCCACTAGAGGAACATCTAACATTACTACAAAAAACATTTAGATCGCTTTCTTATTAACAATAAAAAAGCGGAACAAACGCGTGTCCATCGATATTAACTACCAGCTATACAGCGTGCCAACCTCGAAAATACAGCTGTATTCTAAAAATAACTTAGCTCACCTTATTAGATAGGCTCCTTGCATGCTAGCTAATAACCTTTTTAAAGCTGGTTCTCCGCAGTATGTTCTTTCTCGCTCTAGATTCCGGGAGATTTTAACTAATTTGCGGGCTATCAATATGCGGGAGACTCCCGGATCTTCCCGGATGTCTGAATGGGAAACCCTGATGATAGCCTAACAGCTTGGCTAACGTGCACAATTGTGTTACGATTCAAAAACTTTATTGTTCATTAGACGAAACAAAAGCATTTCATTTTCAAATGCGTGTAAGCCGTATGTATATATTTTTTAAATATATATAAAAGCAATATTCGAATAGTAACTTCAGCATTCGTATAGTATTAGTTTTTTAAATATTCGAATTATATTCGAATTTCGGAATTCGTTCCAACAGCCCTATTGCTTATTGCTAGTTAATATTAGTTAATGCATTCAATATTAACTTATCCACAAGTTTCCGAGGGGCGCTCCTGTAAAAAATAAAATGGGTGAAACTTCCAGTGACGCGGCGGAAGTAGCATTCCAATGGTATTTTGTCTGTTAGTTAGCGAAGAGGCTAGCTGTTTTTCGGATAATTATTTTACTATTTAAAGACGCAAATCTTTATGAAAGATGTCGTTACGGAGCTCAGGGACAACATGTGCTGTTCGCGGTTGTATGTATAACCGGATTAAACTAGTTCAGTGGCTTAAACGGGATTGTTTTGAACATAAGCTGAAAACGAAATCAGAGTGATCCTGCCAACGACTGTAGTTTCCATCAACCTCCCAAAAGACGACGAATCTTCCTGTGTACATTTGTTTAAATTCTTAATGTTCTATAAACTCTATCAGCATGTGATTGGCTGTTTTCTACTGATGTTACACCTAAACTCAGGATCAAAGCCTGTGTTGACAGAATACCAAATGTGCCAGTTAATGTATTCCAGTAGCACATTCATTTATAATTTTGAATAAACTCCAAAGCACAATGACTAAGTGTGTATTTTTTATTTTAATTGTTTGTCAACTCGCACAACTGTCTGTCACCATGCCTTGATGAGTATTGATTATTAATAATGTTATTATAATACTCCCAATCAACTACTGCGGAGGTAAAGGTACTGTTATTTCACCCTTTTGAATTTCGTTGAGGTTGTATTCCCACATCGTTAGCTAGTTTGGATCGCTATAACTTGAATGACTGTCAACTGTTGAATGAACGAGTGTCAAGCATGTCAAATCGCGCTTTGTTTACTTCCAACCGGAAGTCGCGCCCACTTTTGATGCAAGGCCTCATGGGGCGTAGGAAACTTGTGGATAGGACCTTATTGTAAAGTGTTACCAGCATAACAACTCATTTCAGCTTAATATAAGCGTAATACATTTTTATTTTTTTGTTTTGTGAAAATCCAAGCACAGCCGTATTGGAAATGAGTACGTTTGTGTTGTGTCAGTTCACTAGTTCCAAAGCAGTTTCATGGGTTTAGTCTAAATGCGAGGAAGCCGTCTCAAATAAACCCATGTAACGTGCCGATTTAAACACGCACATGCGCACATGCTCACACTGACGAACCCCATTTCACTTGGTCCTTTCCGCAATGCCTTTTGAAATAACACGAAGACATTGAAAGAGCACAGAAAAGGGGTTTGATCGATGAATCCACAAGCCACAGCCAGCCGTTCCGTGTGTGTGTATGTTGTTGTGTGTGTCATTAATAAGCATTAGTAGGGATTAATACCTGCTTTAAAGCTCAGCTCATCAGCCTCCTGCCCTGTGTAATCATACAGCGCTCTAACACGAACCCCGACTACCTTCTCCTCCTCCTCCACCCCGTTGGTTGCGATGTATTTTTTGGGGCTCTCGTCATCAGACCAGTCCGAGGAGTAGTCTTTCCCCGCCCTGTGTGGACAGCAGAGGAATTACAAATCAACAAAAACACATTCATGGAGAAATCATTTTAATAGAAGCTGGAAGATTTGACTCGGGTGATCTGTGATAGTTAGTTCAGCTAAAATACAAATCTCAAATCTATTGAAGGAATTAAACTTGTCTGTGGCATGCCATGGATTATCACAGAGACTAATTTCAATGTGCCTCAGTTTGCAAAAACAATGGACAAATACTAAACATCACATTTACAGTAATGTACAGTAATGCATGTACATTTCAGCTCTACAGTAAGCACGTACTGTATGCAAGCAGACAGATTTAAGCCCAATGTATACTTCACTTTTTATGTGCACACCAGTGTGTGATGCAATTTTCCGAAATCTCCCACTACTCACTATATAGTGGACTATATAGTGAGCTCGCCATTTTGTAGTGCTGTCCAAATGTATAGTAATGATTATACCACCCTATATAGTCCACTCAATGTATCCCAGAATGCATTTTGAAAAGTAGTGTACAACCAAAGGTCACTAACCCAAGCCCTACATACCATCATGCATTGCACTGATCGTAAAAAAGACGGACGGGCGACAGCAATGACATAATCGACGGCGCAGAGAGACGATCGAGTAGTGTCCGAAAGTGGTGTTTCTATTACGCTGGTGAGCTCACTATATAGTGCTCTACTCCCTACCCCCTATGTAGTAGTGGAGTAGTGGTTTGAGTGGAGATTTCGGGCACAGCCACTGTATGCATTCGGCCTGATTTTTCTGACCACACATATTCGGTACACACAGCTTTTGCATAGTTTGTGCTTGTTGGTTAAAGAGTAACTAAACACTAAACCAACTTTTTTTAGTTAATGATCTGTAAGAATGGATCTTTATTAATACCAGTCATTGATTCGAGTAACTTTTTTGACATTTGTTTATAAAGTGTTCTCTTTCTAAAATATATGGTGTGTATATATATATATATATATATATATATATACATATATATATATATGAAGAGTTCAGATGCAAAAGCCTCTAAGTGCCATTTGAAATTTTCTTCTAAAATGATCATTTTTATTAAGCTTGTATATTTAAGTTCAGTAATTTCACTTAAATGGCAATGAAGATTACCTATTAATTGTCATTTAAGTGAAATTACTGAACTTAAATGCACAAGCTTGTTAAAAATGGTCATTCTAGAACAAAATTTCAAATGGCACTTTGAGGCTTTTGCATCTGAACTCTTCATATATATATATATATATATATATATATATAAATAAAACAGTATACTTTGGGCTTTACTCTGTACGCTCAGCTCGCACATGCGATATTTCTGTGTGTAAACTGTCTGGAATCCACATGTAACAATGTTTTGTGAAAATACTTTCAAAACGGCATCAACAAAGTTTATCTCTGTGAAATGTCTTGCTCCATAGATGCTGTTGACAGAGCTAAACCGGTGTTGAACCTTGAACATTCATTCAGTTTTTACTCAAATAAAATTGAGGAATGAGGATGCATATTGATTTTCACAGAAAAAATCTGCAAAGAGCAAATAAAAAAAAATTGTACCTGTTAAAACCTTGATTTTTAGGCTAAAACAATTTTAGCTGGAAACCAACATTCCCAAATGATTGGCTCTCACAAAGGACTGGGATCAACTGAGTTAATTTGATTTGTCTTAATGGCAACAAAACATTATAAACTGATGATTTTAGAAAGTTTCTTGTCTTAAAGATCTTGTTAGCTCTGTCCCACAACCATGTGAGTAGCCTTTCTATCTACTGCCTAAATAGGCAGCTGCCTTCTGAGAAGACATTTTATCCTACAGTAAACGCAACCTTAAATGAATGATTTGGAACATCCTACATTGGCACGAATAGCAGTCTCAACAGCTAAACTATATGATGCTCATCCACATATTGCACATCTAATATTCAGAATTTCTCTCACTAAATTAATCACTACATTTTGTGTTTGTCTTCTTTGTATCCAAAGCTGCCGTTAACTGTCACCACCTTTTTGAGCATACATCTGAAATTAAATGTATTTGGTGAATGCTATGGTTTATTTTGGAGTGTATTTTATCTCAAAGGCATACATTATGTCTAATGAAGTTGTGCTCCAAATTTGAAGTTGATATCATAAAAATTGAGCCCACTAAAAGGTTTTAAAGTACCGTTTTCAAGGTAACACAATGCCCAAAGATTCCTAATGTATGATGATTGCTAAAATATGTGATAGGGAAAACAATTAAAAAGCATGTCAGGACACTGACAGTTAACATGATATAAGGCTGCTTTTGTAACAACCCATGATGCCTGGATACGGTCTAGCTAGGCTGCTCACTAGGTGTTAGAACAGAGCTGTTGTCTGTACTCTGAGAGAGGAGGTCAATAAAGAAAGTTGCACTGACGGTGCATAGCCACTTAGGTTCTCGTAATAGCAGTCCGACTCGTGCCACCTGCGGGTTTAAGAGTCAACAGAGACCAGACTAATAAACAGGAAGCAGCAGAAGGCCACGTATAACACTGCAGTTTAACAGGCATTCACTGTGTGCCCTGAGAGAGGCTTAAACACACTCCAACATGAGCCATCTCTATAGACCATTTTGCAAGACGTAAACACTGGTCCAGAAGCACTTCCTGGTTCAGTTTTTTAACACTACATAAAAGCTGGGATAAAATACAACCAACAGAACATATAAAACTGACTCAGAAAGTTAAACACACATATTTAAAATTTACATGTGAAATAAAGACAACAGTTACAAACTGAAACAGGAAGTGCTTCTGGACCAGTGTTGTTTACATCTTGCAAAATGGTCTATAGTATCTGAACCAGACTCAACCTTATCAGTTTCTTTCAGGCACTTCATTTAGCTAATACTTTTGACCTTCCCTGATCCGGTTTAAACATGCGACCCTAACACACAAACACACACACACGTGTCTTCACTATCTTTGTGGGGACTCTCCTGGTTTTTATACTGTCCAAACTGTATATTCTGTCCCCTTGCACTAACCCTACCCGAGTACCCGTCACAGAAAAAGTTCTGCATGTTCATGTTCATTCTGTATGATTTATAAAGCTTTTATACCCTCGGGGATCTCAATTTAGGTCCCCACAGCGACACGAGTCCCAATGAGTCTATGTGCATTTAGGTTTAAGTCCCCACCGGGATAGAAAAACATGTACACTCTCTCACGCACACCAACACACAAGTATTCTTATCATTATAAGGACATTTCATAGGCTTGATTTACAGAAAAAATAAATACAGCACAAACTGTACATTCTGGCTCCTATCCCAACCCATCAAAGACACCTTTCTGCACTTTTACGTTTTCAAAAGATTAATTTCGTATGATTAATAAGCTGTTTTGCTCACGGGGACCCAGTCACACACACATACACAGTATCTGAATGTGCTGACTCAGTGCTAATTGGTGTAGCTGCTACTAAAAGCAGTGAGCGAAGCCCTCAGGGAAGAACTGTTTCCAGGATAATTAAAAAAACAAAACAATAACAATCCTCCACTTCTAAATACAACACTGTAATTAAAAGTTGGCTTGTTATTGCAACAGAACATGAAACTCATCAGTGTACCCATTTTGGGGCGGCTGACAAATATAATTTTTGCAAGTATTTTTTTTTTGTGAATTTTGAGGAAATATAATGTAGTGTTCATGTTTCTCTAATATTTGCTATTATTAATCTGAATAGTCAAATATAAATACTAAGGCTGTCAAACGATTAATCGTGATAAATCGCATCTAAAATAAAAGTTTGTGTTTACACAATATATATGGGTGCACTGTGTAAAATTATTTTATATATATATAAATACACACATATGCTTGTATATATTTAAGAAATATTTCCATGTATATATATTTATTTTATATCTAAATATAAATAATATTTTTTTCTTAAATATACATGCATGTGTGTGTATTTATATATACAAAATAATTATACACAGTGCACCCACATATATTATGTAAATACAAACTTTTGTTTTGGATGCGATTAATCTCGATTAATCGTTTGACAGCCCTAATAAATAGTAGTGGAAGCATTAATCGTCCTTTATCGGCCTGTTTACCCCTGGTCACTTCATTCTCTGATGGGATATAGCCATTAGATTGAGAAAAGACCAGGTTTAAATGCCTTATGAAACGGATTTAAATCTGAAAGAGATGGTTTGAGACATTTCAAATGAAACCGGACAATTGTTGTTGAAACACATTTCATGAAAATAGCACAGGAATTGAACTTGGATTTATATTGGTTTTGGAGAAACACATCCATAAATGAAACGGATTTAACAAAACGGATAGCTATCCAATCAGTCAAAACACATGAAGTGACCAGGACCAGGTGTAAACATTTATAATATATATATATATATGTGAATATTTTCTTTGTGCATGAGCATCTGAGTGTGTGTTGGTCAGATGTACCGTGTAGTTTCCTCTGGGTTCTGAGGGGGTTCGTGTCCCGCCGAGACTATATTAGTCAGAGTGACCACGTCATCATGACTGTTTCTTTCCTTTCGACTGATGGATCGGTGCGATTCTGGTGACCACTCCTGTTAAAACACCAAATGCACATGTGAAAATACATAATCACATGTACAAGCTCCTATAATGTTCTGAATTTAATCACATATTTAAAAAAGTAACACTATTTTACAGTTTTCTTGTTACACGTTACATGTAGTCACTATAGAGTATGCATTATTACATGCAACTCACCCTAAACCTAACCTAATTAATATTACTCAGTACTTAAAATGTATAACTACACTGTAACATGGACAAGTGTAACCAAAAATAATAATAGCAGTAACAAAAACAACATTATTAATAATAAAAACGACAACTGATTTATACGTCCTTATACTTTAGTAATTAATGCAATTAATGAATGAAATGAATTATTTAAAGAATCCTGAAATAAAGTATCAGAGATTAAAAAGGAAAAAAAAAATAGGCAGTCGCAACTTTAATAACAAATCATCATATGACTTCTGAAGGATCATGTGACCCTGAAGACTGGAGTAATGATGATGAAAATGTAGCATTGATCACAGGAATAAATTATATTTTAAACATTAAAATTGAAAACTAGGGCTGTCAAATGATTAATCGCGATTAATCGCATCCAAAATAAAAGTTTGTGTTTACATAATATATGTGGGTACACTGTGTTTAGTTATTATATATATAAATACACACATGCTTGTATATATTTAAGAAATATTTTCATGTATTTACTGTATATAGATTTATATATAATTTATATTATATATAAATATCAAAATTGTATATATAAATAATATTTTTTTTCTTAAATATACAAGCATGTGTGTATATTTTTTTTATATATAATTATACACAGTGCATCCACATATATTACGTAAACACAAACTTTTATTTTGGATGTGATTAATCGCGATTAATCGTTTGACGGCCCTATTGAAAACCATTATTTTTTACATTGTAATAATATTTCATACTTTTTTTTTGTATTTCTGATCAAATAAATGTCGGCTTGATGAGCATGAGAGACTTCCTTCAACAACATTAAAAATAGTAACGTGTCCAAACTTCTGACCAGTACTGTATATATACCCCCTCCCCTCTTTAAAACAGAACAAAATTCCAGAACAGTCACACAATGTGACCCTGACATAACAGCACTTATATTCAGAGTCACATGCTGGACGATCATCCGAGAGAGAGAGAGAGAGACTGTGCCTGTTTACAGTCATACAAAGGCCTCCAGTGTGCTGGCAGAACAGGGAGGATGCCAGAAGATTCCTCCAGAGGTGTCACTTACCTGGGCAAACTTGACTAAAAGCTTCATTTTTAGCTTTTAGTGAAGTTTAATCTACAGCTCGATTAAACATTCACACCGTGTGGGGAGGGGGTTCAAAAATTCGGACACACTCAGATTCCACAATGCATCCACACACAAACATCATTTGCACAAATGGAGGTGCTGACACTGCCACTGTGTGTGTGTGTGTGTGTGTTTGTGTTGGTCGGGAGGGCTGGGAAAGATATGCCATTAGGGGAAGGATCCGACATTCCAGAACCCACTCATGGGCCGTGCGAAGACAACAGCTCATTCACACTCGACCCATTAGAAATTCACCGGGGCCCAAAACGGCTCTATGGTTGATGCCCGGGTCTGTAAATGTCATATCTTTTCTAGGCAAGTGTTTGCATCTGGTAAACGTCTTTCCTGGCATTCTGGGATAGCAAATATAACAAAACAAAGCATCATTTTGCACTATACCTCGAGCTGCGGCCAGTTCATGCTCATGCCGGGTCCGTGGGTGTTCCTCCACCACCGGAGGTCCTCCGTGTCGCTCGCTGCGCTGATGGTCTGGCCGAGGTCTCGGTACAGGGCTTTGAATCTGCATGGGGATTTTCCACATACTCAGAACAGGTTTTAATTTGTGCACAAGGAAGTGTGTATGTTAAAAAAAAAAATACAGGTTACACTAACTCTAATCAACGATGCTTGCCAAGTCAAACATCCCTATTAAGAATGCTTGTATTTTTAAAACACCAAGTACAATTTATTTATATAGCACATTTATACACAGCAAAGCTGACCAAAGTGGAGAACAGAGTAAACAGAATTAAAAACAGTGAAGACAATAAAACAATATTAAAATAAGATTAAAGCGCCTGAGATAATGATAAAATGATAAAAAAAAAAACTGTTTAAAAATTATAATAAAAGGTGCAAGGTGAGGGACATACAGTAGAAACCTATCTGAAGATCTGCTAGATGAGCTTGATCATTAAAGGAGTAGTTCACTTTTTAAAAAAACTTTTGCTGATAATTTACGCACCCCCATGTCATCCAGGATGTCCGTGTCTTTCTTTCTTCAGTCGAAAAGAAATTAAGGTTTTTGATGAAAACATTCCAGGATTTTCACCATATAATGGACTTCAATGGGGACCAAACGGTTCAAGGTCCACATGAGAGTTTCAGTGCAAACTGTTCAAAGGGTTTTAAATGATTTCAGACGATGAATAAGGGTCTTATCTAGGGAAACGATCGCTCATTTAACAAATAAATTATAAAGTTTAAGTTTTATAAGCTCAAATGCTCGCCTTGCTCGACTCTCCTGTTCGAACTCGTTCATCAAAATGAACAAATCTTTTTTCATATCATTTGGTTCATTCAACAAACGAAACGATTGAGTTGACTCGGGAAAAGATTCGTTCATTTTGATGGACGAGTTCGAACAGGAGAGTCGAGCAAGGCGAGCATTTGTGCTTATAAAACTTAAACTTTGTTATTTTTTTTAAATGACCAATCGTTTCGATTGATAAGACCCTTATTCATCGTCTGGTGTCGTTTAAAGCCCTTTGAACAGTTTACACTGAAACTGTCTTTTGGACCTTGAACCGTTTGGTTCCCATTGAAGTCCATTATATGGAGAAAAATCCTGGAATATTTTCATCAAAAAGCTTAATTTCTTTTCGACTGAAGAAAGAAAGACATGGACATCTTGGATGACATGGGGGTGAGTAAATTAACAGCAAAAGTTTTTTTTTTAAAGCGAACTACTCCTTTGAGAGCCTTTAAGAGCGATGCTAAAAAAATGTGAAACTTTTAAAGGGACAACTTTTTAACTCATCTACCCCATATGTTCACTTAAATGGGTAATTCACAGCTGACAAGGCAGGCTTTTATTCAAACGTTTGTACAAAACAATTGTTGCTACATGACTAGAGAAAAGAGAAAAGAGCTGTGGTGTTCCCTTTAGCCAAAAACATCCACACACAAAATGCACTTTTGATTATGTTAACCTGACTGTCCGTGGGCAGGTTTAGTTTGAATTCAGATTTACTTCTACAAATAACTGACCTAAATATGATTTAAATTTACAAAAATTAATACGAACTATTAGTTGCACACACTCAAGCTCTGCTACCCTAGTTTTTGGCTCATTTTGAGTCACTCTGAATGACTCATTGAATCAAGTCAAATCATCTCAGTTCGATTCCCAAATGAATCATTCAGGGCTGCATTTCCCAAAAGCATTGTGAGATAAGTTGATTGTAGGGAAAGTGTATGGCTTTTGGGAAACGCAGAACAGTGCGATTCGTGATCCGCTTCAACAGGTTCGTTGAAAATAATCAGCTCTGGTTTTGATTTTTTCAATTCAGAATAACGAGGAATGACTGATGTGTTTGTAATGGAGCAAAAAGTATCATAATATCCTTTTGAATGTAGTGAAGTAAAAGTTTCCCAAAGGAAAAATACTAACGGTGTAACGATACCCTCATGTCACGATTCGATACAAATCACGAAACAATATTATTGCGATACTCCAAGACATATCGTAAACAATATACTGTCGATTAAAGGGCTAAATTTGGGTTTGGAAATGAATGGGCTTGGACTTGGTGCTGATAACCCAATGCATAGGACATGGGGCTGGGTAATAAATATCGATTTCTCGATATTAATCGATTCTCATTTTTACGAACCGATATCGATTCTTCAATCTCAAGAATCGATTAGTCATCCTGTTTCATTTGAATATATGGAAACATTGTATCGCGGCTGCGCGCATCCAAAAAAATCGCAATAATCTTTGTTCTTTGTTACTATTGATATGAAACAAAGTCTCAATTTTCAAATTACATCCATTTTTTTTAGAAATTCAAAAACATAAATGGCGTTTTGGCGCTGTGGCGTGAGATCGCTCTGGAGAAGCAGCAGCGCTGATCTCTCTTCCGGGTTAATAATACCAGTCACAGCGCGAAATAAACATGAATGAGCATCTGAAAGTGTGTTAAAAGATAGAGTACAACTTATCGAAATCCACATCATGTCACATTGATTCGCTCAATCAGCGTTTCAACCATGGAAAGACGTCAGTTAAACAGCTTGTAATCAATGTCATCGTCATTTTTACCTCAGAAAACTCACATAAACTCGTTAGTCAGCGAGAAAAAATAACTCTAGAGAGGAGCATTTTGCTAAATATATAGCCTACACCATATTACATATGCATTATAAACTTAATTTTCATCAATATTTAATGCATATTTGAATAAATCTGGCAAGTTTTTATGACAGTCACCATTTAAATGTTAATATTTCTTATAATCTTCTTATTATAAAAATAAATAAAAGTGTAATTTAAGTGTTTGTATATTCATTATTACCTTCATATTAGACTAATGAAGTCTATAGGCTACAACTAGACTCCCATAGTTTACAGCATTAGTTAAGAGATTTGATTCCCTTGAGAAAAATGGCCATTTATTGTAACTGATATCCAAAATAATCAATATTGAATCGAATCGTAATCGAAATCGAATTGCAAGATTGTGAATCGAAATCGAATCAAATTGTGAAATTTGTCTCAATACCCAGCCCTAATAGGACAAGAACGTACAGTAAGGAAATAAATAAAGAAAGCTGGTTGAAAATTGATGGACTTATCCTTTAAGGTACTGCTAACTACTTCTAGACTCCAGTCGACAACTTTTGTTTGGCCAAGCACTGCTCACATTTTCTTCAAATCTAGTTCTTTTGTCAAAGTTTATTTCGTAATCACTGCTGCCAGGAAACAATAAGTACCATGGAAATTGAAAGAATGAGGGAGGGATAAAGCAAACAGAAAGATTCCTGTACATGAAACTATACTATACGATTAACACACAGCTCAGCACCGGCCCTGTAATTACAGCTCAACAAAACTGCAGAGACAGGTTTGAAGGGTGTTGTTTTTGTTGCCATTCTGAACATGTAACTCCACGCTGATTGAGCGAACACCGAAAACACAAAATGAAAGAAACAATAAAAAGCACTTGCACTAGCTTGTAGCCCTTTTGAAACGCCCCTGGTTAATGGTCAACGACATACTCAGAATTCCTCATTAAGTAAACAAAATGATAGCAGAGAGCACGGAAAAAACAAATACGCACTTATTAATGGTTAACGTTCTCCATTTATTTCAGTTCTCAGCTATGTGACATAAATGACAGGAAACTATTTCAAGAGCCTAAGGATATTGATATGGCCCTTATAAATGAGGACTTGACATTGAGAAAAGTTTGAGTCAGAGCTCCCTATTTCTCTCATGTCTCTCACATCTGTGCCCGTCAGTCTCTCAGCGGCTCCGCTTCAAGAGTCCCTGACCCGGGTCATTCATGTATTCTGGCACCAAGGCTGTTCGAAACAGTTGGATAGCAAATTTTGCTGCGTTTTATGATATTTCAAATCATCTTCATGGTTTACTTCCCTCTTTCGGAGCGCTACCTTTGGATGTGTTGTATAGCAAAAACAGTAGGGCTGGGTAATAAATATAGATTTCTCGATATTAATCGATTCTCATTTTTACGAACCGATATCGATTTTTCAATCTCAAGAATCGATTAGTCATCCTGTTTCATTTGAATGAATGGATCATTGTATCACGGCTGCGCGCATCCAAAAAAAAAAATCACAATAATCTTTGTCCTTTGTTACTATTAATATGAAACAAAGTCTCAAATTTCAAATTAGGTCCATTTTCTTTAGAAATTCAAAAACATAAATAGCGTTTTGGCGCTGTGGCGTGAGATCGCTCTGGAGAAGCAGCAGCGCTGATCTCTCTTCCGGGTTAATAATACCAGTCACAGCGCCAAATAAACATGAATGAGCATCTGAAAGTGTGTTAAAGATAGAGTACAACTTATCGAAATCCGTATCATGTCACATTGATTCGCTCAATCAGCGTTTCAACCGTGGAAAGACGTCAGTTCAACAGCTTGTAATCAATGTCATGTATCGTCATATTTACCTCAGAAAACTCACATAAACTCGTTAGTCAGCGAGAAAAAATAACTCTAGAGAGGAGCATTTTGCTAAATATATACACCATATTACATATGCATTATAATCTTATTGTTCCTCAATATTTAATGCATATTTGAATAAATCTGGCAAGTTTTTATGACAGCCACCATTTAAATGTTTATATTTCAAATAATCTTCTTATTATAAAAATAAATAAAAGTGTAATTTAAGTGTTTGTATAGCTACAAAACAGTTCATTATTACCTTCATATTAGGCTAATGAAGCCTAGTAGGCTACAACTAGACTAGAGTTAAGAGATTTGATTCCCTTGAGAAAAATTGCCATTTATTGTAACTGATATCCAAAATAATCGATATTGAATCGAATCGGAATCGAAATTGAATCGAATTGCAAGTTTGAGAATCGAAATCGAATTGTGAAATTTGTCTCAATACCCAGCCCTAAAAATCAGCACATCGGTTTTCTTGCGCTTGAATGGTTTGAAGTCACATTAAAATGCACACAAAGGAATCAATAAGAGAAATCGAAAAGCGCCCAATCGATTCCCCTTTTTCTGGAATTTTGGAAGCGGTTCTCGATACCACAAAGAGTTTCAAATTCAGCATATTAACAAGCATGCGGAGCTAGAAGATAAGTGTCTGTGTAGAGTGTGAAGCAGTGGCATGGCAGAGGGACTTACCCATCATTGTTGGAGAGGTCCATGTGCTGATGTATGTCCTGAAGAACTTCTTTAAAAAAGCGCAACCTCTTCTTTTCGGCCTCCTGGGTGATTTCGAACACTTGCTCCATGTCCTCCATGTAACGTGGGTTACATCGATTCAGCTCGTCCAGGGCTCTCTCGTAGCGTTCCTTAGCCTGAGGAAAAAAAAAAAAAAATTCCTGTTCAGAATACATCTAATGGATCAATGAATATTCACAAGGTTTTGATGGAGAGTTGTTGAAACTAAAGGAGAAGGCTGCGCCACTTTCTTGATTTGAGCATCACATTGGATCAAAGCATCGTCTAAATGAAATGTAAATGTACTAATATGAATTTCATGAAAGACAGACAACAAAAATCCCTCTAAATAAATGAAATCAGGTGGTGTTTCTCTTTACACCTTTGAAAAAGCAGAAACTGAAGGTGTAAAGTGTCGTTTTGTGAATGAAATACACATTCAGAAATATGTTGTTCACACCCATAATTCATCATGGCCACAGTAAGACATCATCACCAATGGCACTAGCAACATGCAAGCCTTGTCTTGTCAACATTTTATGGAAATTCTGTCATTCCCCACCCATCTCCTTCCACCTAGACATGGACACTTGTTGACGAGCTTTCCATGCAGTAATTACCAGCTTAATGGAAAAACCTCACAAAACTAAAAGGACTAAAACGGCTGAGTCTGTGCTTTTTCTCACGGTACCTTCTCTGCCTCTTGGGTGCATTTCTCCAGGCGATCTGTGAACTTGCGGACCTCCTCTTGGGATTTGGTGGTGTCGGCCTTGGCATGAGTTTCACGGGTCAATGCCGTGCGCTCTTCCTTCCGGGTTTGGTGGTAACTTTTTTTGGTAGATTCCACCTATCGCAGAGAAAATGTTTACACACCCATACTATTCCCCCATTACTGTGATACATGGTGTAATACATTGATTTCTTTAAACATTATAGACCTCAAATAAAGACTTGGGCATTTAACCAATACCGTTGATCAGCTCTACCAAACGTGGATGTTTTTCCACTGAAGAAACGAACATTGTTATTATGTTTTGACTGATACTGTGAAGCTGATTTGATGCAATCTATATTGTGAAAAGCACTTGACTTGTTCATTTGAACATTGCTCCAAATCAGTCGTCGAGATTTTTCAGTTTTCAGATTTAATTCCAGTCTGTTTCTCATACTAAGCTATTATATTGATTTAGAAGACTTGGGATACAACAAACCAATCATTAGGGTTTCTTCAGACTTTAAAACCAATGTCTAGAGAGAAACACAAGCAACACTTTTTCCAACAGATATCTATCACGTTTCACTTTGGTTTTTATAAGTAGCTTCAATCACTCTCAACCGCTCGAATACAGAAATATCGTTTACTGTACCTTCTGAGCAACCTGAACAAAAATTATGTTTTTCCTCAGTATTTTCATATTGTTTTCCAGTGCAAATGTCTAAAGATTCTCATCACAATGCATTTATTGGAGACACAAAATAACAAAACATTAACGGTGCATTGCGCAAGTCTCTGAGTTTTTGCAGAACTACGCCCCCTCTGGCGACAAGCGAAACTGCAACCAGAGGTGTGCACGCTCATGGACTACACGCGCGCTCTCGCGAGCTGTTCATAACCGCACAAATCTTTTGTTTACATGTTTCATGATGTCTTCAGAGTTATAAATCTGCAAGTCATTTGAGTAAATTACACACTTATGTGTGTGTGTGTGTGGGGGGAAAACGGGGGTAGTATAAAACGTCGTTTTTTGTTTCCATCTATCTCCATGTTGAACTGTTTAATGTATCCACTTATGATTGTATTATTATGGAAACACGTTCATGAACAATATAAGTTATTACTTTGTACCCCATTTGAGCCCTAGAGCCGACCGGAGATCTCTCCGTTTGTTGAAAGCCTTCCCGATATTGACTCTCGTCTTATTCCGACGCCTGGCTCTAGACAAATGTTTTATTTTCTTTGTCTTACGTGGAGTTTGCATCGGGGTTTGGAATGAACTACAAGCCGGTCTCTTTGAATCCATCTTCTACTTTTGTCGAAAGTTGACTAAAGTTTTGTCGCTCGAGTTGTATTCGCTGATACGGAGAATGGCGGCGAATACACAAACCTGCCAGAGATCGCCAGGTGAGCGTGAACATCACCCCCAGTATCAAATCCCGTCCCGAATCCCACTTATTTATTTCACCGTACAGGATTATAGAGGCGATCGCAGTGATCAGAGAAGGACCCGTTCAGCCCATCAGGCGATTGTTTAAGTATTTTTAACATGAAATGTTGCGCAATGCACTTTTAAGTCTTGATTTATGTGAAATCTGTAACAATTAAGTGAGTTTATGATTCAATCAAGAACAAATATCTGTCAATCTGCTCATAAAAGTCAACTTAATTCTAAGGAAAGTTTTGAAACACATTAACAGATCATTCTATTCATTTTAATTTGCACCTTAAGTAAATCTCTCTTTATTTAAAGATCCCTTCATTGGGTGAATTAAAACCTAAGACCTGCAGAAACCCTGTTTTGGTCATTTTTGGAGCTTGACAATCACTTGTTGCATGGGGGGAAAAGCAGATTTTTGGCATTCGTCTAAATGAGAACACTTTACAATAAGATTTCATTTGTTACCAATAGTTAACTACAATATTAAACATGAACTAAATGAAAGCAATAGATAAAGTGGATTTAAACTAAATATATTTAGTTCTCTCTGCCATCATTTATTGGACTAAATCCATAATAATGGCGTAGTATTCTGCAAAAGGAGAAGACTCACATCCTTCAGTTTTCGGACCCAGGGTTTCTGGGCCTTACGGAAGCCTTCGTCTGCGTCTTTGGTCTCACGAAATCCACCAATCATTTGCTTGTGGAAGGCGTCCTTCTGCCAGTTTCTAATCTTTTCACTGTCCTCAACAACCAGTTTCTCTTTCAGTTCCATATGGATCTCACTCAGTCTGTCGGCCGCATTCATGAAAGCATGCCAGGCCTTTTCCAGAGTCCCATACTGTGAGCCTGCAGGAGACAAAACAGAATTCAGCTTATTACACTGGATATAGCTGCTTACTGGCCCAACTTAAAAAAAATCAAAACACCCCCAAGTTTGTATAATATTCTTCTCTAGATACACATCTTGCCTCTTATTATAATTGTAGGTCAGTGCGTCTGCCCCTTTAAGGTCACATGGTTTGGTTACTGAATATGTGTCCAGCCGAAGGCTCTCACTGGGAGGTAATCCACTCATATCCACGACTTTTCTTAAGGTCAATCCAAGATACAGTGGCTTTGTTTACACTGAATCCTGAATGCTAAAATCTGTAAAGCTTTCCTGCTCACACAGTGGTGCGTTGGTGCTTGCAACGCCAATGTCATGGGTTTGATTCCCAGGGAAAGCAAGAACTGATGAGAAAGTAAAGGTGTAGCTTGAAATGCAATGTAAGTCGCTTTGAATAAAATGCATAAATGTAAACGTAGGTACTCTGCAAAATCCAGTATATTGTCGCTGTCGGGCGGGAAAACACGAATCTCCAGAATTCGTTATTTACATTTTTTTGTTCATAAATCATTACGATTGGTCACCTTTAACGTCTGTCTGTGGATTTTTTGCAAATATCTAACCAATGAAAAGTATTAAAAAGAGCTTGTTTAAACCATATAACTCCATTGGATCCTCAAACTGTCAATCAAACCTCATAACTCCACCCATTTCTATTGTAAATGAAGTGCCGCACGCATCTTTGCAATGCAAGGGTAAGTAAAGAAGTGCTACAGCATTTTCTTTACTCACAAAACACAATATATGGCTAATGTTTTATTAATTTCTGAGGAAAGAAGTGTGTCTCAGTCTACCATTTGTCATCGAGAAACCAATAGACCTTATTTAGAGCAGCGCCATGACAGGTATGAAAGTGAGGCTGTGAGGGATAGACTTACAGTGTTTCCAATGGCATCCGCTGTAAAAAGCTGAATAAAGCTCCTAGATTACTTACAATTTTCCACAGCTTACATTGTCAGGAGTTTTTTGTCAACTAAACTTTCTTGGAAAGATATTTTTCCAGTGTTTCATGAGCAGAACAATCCGAAAACACATTAAATAACAGTACAGCCCATTGAAGAGATGCATGTCTATCCCTCACAGCCTCGCTTTCATTCTCATTAAAAATCAAAGATGGCGCTGCCGTGAATAAGGCGTATACTTTAAATAGCCTATATCGGTTATAACATGAGGTCAAACGATCTTAACCAGTAAGTTGATGACAATGTAATGCTTACTGCGTCAGATGCAGCCGTTTTAATAACGGACAAAACACGACCCTGCAACTCTATTTGTGATTGATTTTGGTAAAATGTTAATAATATAATGGACAAATGTAAGTGTCTGACCACAATACTAACTTTGACAAGGCAGTGTTTAATTATATATAAAATAAAATGTTTTTCCATTTCCTGAAAAGTAGCTGATTTGGAGATACAAGGTTTGCGCACAAATTAACGGATCACTGACACACGACATAACCAACAGAGGCAGCATTCCTGTATATTACATTCAAACCTTCTTTTCCCCAAACTACTGTGCAACTATTTTTGGGTGGGCACTAATACGGTGAATGAAAGGTCAGACTTATAGATTTATAAATGTTTGACAGAGGCACTTATCAGTTCATCAGTGTAGAATGTGTTGATGTGACTGGATGTGTCTAACGCATACTGACCTTTCTCCACAATACCCCTCCATTTCCTTGCCCAATCGCTCAGCTGCTGGGAATAGCCTTTCTCAATCTTGGCCCGCTCCTGGAAGCAGCTGACCAGCTCGTTGCATAGCTTGTAGCCATCGTCAATGCGCTTAACCGTCCTCTTGTAGTTCCCAGGCTAACCGACGAAAGTCATGTTAGACAGTCATACAAAAACAATCAAACTGAGTCAAATTAACAACTAGGAATATCAGGGAATATATCATTTCAGTCTAATAAATGTTAATCATTAAATTTAAGATTTTAGAATTTGACTTCATGTAATTTACACAAGTTAAAAATGGCACAGTTCTCCTAAACTGGTTTAATTTTTACTCAAATCAAGGAGAAACAAGGTCTTGATTTCGGTTATCAAGTGAAACAAGAAAGCATTTATGAACAAGGATATTTATGACAAATCTTTATAAAAAAAAAGAAAAAGAAAAGAAGTGGTCCACAAACTTGATGCACATTTGGGTGAAAGGTTTATAGAACTATAAGGAACGACATTAATGAGTTATATTTCCAAAACACATAAATGGATGAGAAGAAAAATATTTACTGCATGATCCCATCTCAACAGTCTTATTGTGCTGCAGATTATTTACATTTATTAATATTCATAATACTAGAAGTGAAACTATGTTAACATTTTCTATTAGTGCAGCATTCGAAGCACTATCAGTTAAGCCAATGACACAGCTTACCCCACTTCATTATCATTTCATTTTTAAAAAAACAAAAACAAATAGCCATGGCTAATCTTTATATCTTTAAATGGTTTTAGACGTTGCCAATAGACCAATATGTTTGATTTTTTATTAATTTTCATCCATCTATGACAAAAAAACAATTATATTATAAACAAATACGTTTCTCATGTGCATCTCTCAATGACGAATGTATTTATATAGCTCTTTTAAGAATACACATTGTTCTACAAATTGTTAATATATATCCATCTTTATAGAACTGTGCGATAATGCGGTTCACATTTTGCGATGATATAGCGTACTATAAACAATCATGCAGGCGAGATTTGCTGCATAATATTGTTTGATTTATGTGCATGTATGCAAGCAAAGTATGATGTATCCAATTTTATTATGGTTTACATTTGACTATAACAATCAAGCAGTTTTAAAATTTAGCTATATAGTACATAGTAGCTTACTATGTATGTATTTGGGCAAGGGTGAATATACTTATAGTAGTTGTATAATTCACAATTAATAAGTAATTTATTAATTATCTCGAGTTATATTGTGGGGATATTAGGGCTGTGAAACGATTAATCGCGATTAATTGCATCCAAAATAAAAGTTTGTGTTTACATAATAAGTGCGTGTGTACAGTGTGTATAATTATTTTGTATATATATATATATATATATATATATATATACACACACATATGCATGTAATTTAAGAAAAATGTGCTATTAATATATCAAATATTTATATTTATGTATAATATTAATTTTGTATAAATATAAATAAAGTATATGCAAATATTTCTTAAATATATACATGCATGCATATGTGTGTATATATATATATATATATATTTACACACAAAATAATTATACACACTACACACACATATTATGTAAACACAGACTTTTATTTTGGATGTGATTAATCACGATTAATCGTTTCACAGCCCTAGGGGATATTGAGAATTATGAAACAATTTGGTGTGGTGACAAGCCTAATTACCATTTGGTGATGCATATAAATGACAGGGTATAACAAAAACCAGTTTTGCTGATGAGTTAATTGAAAGTAGTCATGACATAATACTCATGCACTGTGTGTTATGTAGAAGTCCTCCTGTGTACAAGCCAAAGGCAACTTTTTTTTCCATGTGATAAAAAATGGAGGGAAAAAAAACAACCTAAACTGTCTTTCACTACTTTCACTTTGCCATCTAAGAACCCTTAATATCTCTTGGTTTTCTCCAAGGCAAGTAAGGACCTGACCGAGCATGCTTGAAGAATTGTAGTGCAGAAAGCTCTCAGAGAGCGCTTGGAAATGTCGGATCTGCAGGAATCCGCTCCTTTAGTGTCTCTAACTCTCTGGCTGGACGCCACAGCATGCGGCCCACTCTGCCAGGGAGATCTGTGTGTGTGTGTGTGTGTGTGTGTGTGAGAGAATGTGGGATACTAACCTCCCAGAAGCTGTCCCAGCTCCCAACGTCTTGCAGATCCCCGTTGGAAGACATTTTGGGGTCGCCCTTGCAGCACGGAATGATGGCGGCTGTCTGTCAAACTGCGAAGAACAAGTCGTGAAATCAAACAGAGCCAACAAGCGGAGCATATCATGACAAAACTAGTTCCTCCAGTCTCTGCTCTGCATGACACATGCCCTCAAGTTCAATCCAGAAAACTAAACAGTTTCATATCATACAAAATATACATTAATCCATAGACATTTCACTACGGTCTCTCTCGAGTCGTGACCCAGCGCTCCCTGGCCTCTAAAGTTAAGACATCTGCCCAGCCACAGTAATCCTGCATTTCGCTACAGTAAGGAAGCCAGCGTAGGCCAGTCTCACCTCTGAGCGGATTTGTGTCTGCCTAAGGTAAACCTGGGTGAAGCACAAGCTTCTCCGCTCCAGTCTGGGTGGAGTCGCCAAAAAAGCAAATGGATCCTCCCTTTAGTCAAGACAAGTCGCCTTCATTTATATAGCGCTTTTAACTATATACAGTGGTGTGAATACGTTTTGGCACCCATGCTAAAGTTGCCTAAAAAGAGGAATAAAAAATCATCTTTTGGATATTGATCTTAATGCCTTAATTAGAAAAATGAGGAAAACTCCAACCTTTAATGACACCAATTTTCTTTGTGAATGAATAATGCATCATAAATAAATAAATGTTTTTCCTTAAAATACAGGGTGCATAAGTCAGGGCACGCTTATGTTAAATTCCCATAGAGTCAGGCAGATTTTTATTTTTAAAAGCCAGTTATTTCATGGATCCAGGATAATATGCATCCTGATAAAGTTCCCTTGGCCTTTGGAATCAAAATATCCCCACATCATCACACACCTTCCACCACACCTAGAGATTGGCATGGGGTACTTTCCATAAGATCATCTTTCAATGCAAATCAAACCAGCTATTAGGCTAACTGAAGTAAATGGTGTGTGATGATGTGGGGATATTTTAATCCCAAAGGCCAAGGGAACTTTATCAGGATGGATATTATCCTGGATCCATGAAATAACTGGCTTTTAAAAATAAAAATCTGCCTGACTCTATGGGAATTTAACATAGGGGTGTCCTGACTTATGCACCCTGTATTTTAAGGAAAAACATTTATTTATTTATGATACATTATTCATTCACAAAGAAAATTGGTGTCCTTAAAGGTTGGACTTTTCCTCATTTTTCTAATTAAGGCATTAAGATCAATATCCAAAAGATGATTTTTTATTCCTCTTTTTAGGCAACTTTAGCATGGGGGCGAAACACTTATTCACACCACTGTAGATTGTTTCAAAGCAGCTTTACAGTAATAATGGGAGATTAAAGTAACAGAGATTGTTTTGGCTTTACAGAAGCTCTAGAATAAAGTTAGTTTTGATCGATTCACTTCCTTTGCAAAGATCATTAATTAGCTTAGGGTACGCTTACACGACACTGTTCTAACAGAAAACCCTTAACACACTTCGGACGCTCATTCTCACTAGGGATGGCGAAAACTAAACATTTTCTTGACCGACCACCGAGCCTCATTAGCCGGTTGAAACCGGTTAACCGATTGGTTTAAAATATGCTACGCTAGAAATAACCGCCATTTTGAGCTGCGCCTGCAATTTCACAACTTTCAAAAACGTAGAATTTTTTGAGGCTCTTCACCGAGCGCTTACACCGATACACACGGAAGTGTTTGAAAGCAGGAGATAATCAACAGATCTCTAGTAGATCGTGTTTATCTGTGTAAACGCTCAGTGAAGAAAACATGTTCTTGAAGCGTTAATCAGCCAATCACAGATATGTTGAGCGCATTGGCCAATCAGAAGTGTTTAAGAATCCGTTCATCAGCGCTCAAAATGCTATAAGGAAATGATGGCATCACCACATTTTTTGAATTTCTGTAACGGGTCAGTACAGAAGTCACGAATTTTGACACCACCACTTCCTTCATGGTTGCTTAAGAAATGAAAAGCTACACACTCCACCAATTAGGGTTAGAAGAACGGTGGCCAAACATGCTAGAAACATAATAATCACTGCAATAATGATCCAGTCATAGACTCTTAAAGGAGTAGTTCACTTTAAAAAAAAACTTTTGCTGATAATTTACTGTCCATGTCTTTCTTTCTTCAGTCGAAAATAAATTAAGGTTTTTGATGAAAAACGGATTTTTCTCCATATAATGGACTTCAATGGGAACCAAACGGTTCAAAGTCCAAATGGGAGTTTCAGTGCAAACTGTTCAAGGGGCTTTAAATGATTCTAGACGATGAATAAGGGTCTTATCAAGCGAAACGATCGCTCATTTAATAAATAAATAACACAGTTTAAGTTTTATAAGCTCAAATGTTCTGTGATGTGCGTTTGTGACTCTCCTGTTCAAACTCGTTCATCAAAATGTACAACTCTTTTTCAGAGTCAATTTGTTCATTTTGTTCGTTGAATCAACCAAATGACTTGAAAAAAGATTCGTTCATTTTGATAAACAAATTCGAACAGTTTGAACAGTTTGCACTGAAACTCTCTTTTGGACTTTGAACCGTTTGGTTCCCATTGAAGTCCATTATATGGAGAAAAATCCTGGAATGTTTTCATCAAAAACCTTCATTTCTTTTCAACTGAAGAAAGAAAGACATTGACAACTTGGATGACATGGGGGTGAGTAAATTATCAGCAAAAGTTTTTTTTTAAAGTAAACTACTCCTTTAAGCATTTGCCTGTTTAAATCCAAACAGTGACTTTTGCTGGCTGGGCAGTGTATAAAGCACAGCTCACACAACTCACTTTCAAACCAAGCTACCTACTTTGTCAGAATGATGGATTCAAGAAATAAAAGGTATCTGGAAAGGGTTCCTGAAACCTTTCCATTGGACAAAAGTTTATAAGAAAAAAAAAAAATGTATCTTTAAGAACGGTTTATAAAAAATTACGAGAAAAGTCATGTTGATAATATATGTCTGCTGATATGCAAGTGTCCATTGCTCATAGGGGCATGGGAGACACTACGCCTCTCCAACACTTATTCATCACCCTAAAATAACCGGTTTATTAATGCACAAAGTGCTTTGGCTACTACATAAACTACATTTAGTCCAAACAGAACAAGTAGGCGTACATCTAATAAACTTAGTACACGCTCTTCCCGTGCTTGTATACATTTAGCACCTCTTCTGGCCTTGGTTTCTCGTCATATTGTTTGAGCCAAGGTCGTATGGTTTCCTCAAACAGACACAACAAAAGGGAGGAAGCAGTGGGATCGGCCTCGCAGGAGCATCTGCTTCCAATTCAGGCCAAACTGGCTATGCTAATGGAAAATTAGCATCCTCAAGAGAGACTTGGGAACCAACATACTGAAGAGCATTTGCTGTGGATGCATAGTTCTGACAATTTATTTAATGTTTTGTTGAGCAATTTCTGGTTTGCGATAGATTTTCAAACATGACACAAAAGTAGGGTTGGGCAGTATAATCAATTTTGTAGGGCACATCAATATATTTTCAAAAATGTGAAACTTAGTTTTTGGGCTCTACTAGGATAGGTTTTCATTATTTTCTTTTACTTATTTGTTTTAGCTCCACTCTTCCCAGTCTGTCAGTAAAGCTCTGTTTAGTTCCTGTCTCTATAAAGCCCCTCATTCTGAAAAGCACACTGTGCTCTGATTGATCAGCTGGACAAGTGTGTTGTGATTGGTCAACTGCTTTGAACATGTTAGGAAAAGTCCCACCCCTTACCTTAACCGCCAGTTTCAACACACTTCTAACTAACTCAACCAGGCCCCGCCCCTTTATTTTGCACATGCCTTAGGCAGTCACTTGCCACTAGAAAATACTGATATATATATATATATCACACACACACACACACACACACACACACACATATATATATATATATAAAAAGTTGACATTCAGTCAAATTGAGATATGATTTTTCACCAGCGCCATTAGCATGTTTTTTTTAAGAATTGTAGAAACACGGTTACTTCATTGTTAGCATAGCACAAGTTGTTTTTCTACAATTAGCAACCTTTTACACAAAAAAAACTAAAAGAAGCTGAAACAAATTTTTAGCCGCCTGCGTGTTATGACACATCCCTAATTTCCGGCAGATCCTTTTAGCACTGCTATTTGTTGCAGTTCAACACAAATCATCTCTACATCTGACTTTACATGTGTATAGCCTAGTGCATTATTTTGGACTCAACTTCCTGTGCACTTATACACCGTGTGGTGTGTACTTATGCACTAATATAGTTGGCGTGAGAGTTTTATAAGGTTATTTTGTTATTTAACATCAGAGTCTGATGCCCCTCCCTCTGTTGCGTAATTAAAACTGTGACAGTCGAGCGAATGAAGTGTCCAACATTACACACCATGTTTTTCTGGTTAATTAAGTGCATCATCTGAGTATTGAAAGTGCACTTTTTTTTGGACTTTTCAGTGAACTCGCAATATTTATACTATGCTATGAATCATACAATAGCAGGCGAATTGGGACGCACATTTAGTTTCACTTAGTTTCCTTTAAATAAAGAGCTTGGATTACTTCCCCTGAACTTCCTCCCGGCGAGGTGAAGAGAGGGGTGGGAGTGGAAAGTCAGCTCCCGATGATGGTATTTCCCACAAACATGCCAGGAGGAGCACTGATGAGAGCTTCACTTGAACCTCACTTGCCAATTTAAGATCAGTAAATATTGTTTGGAGCAGTGTTGTAGTACTCGAGACTCGGACTCGAGACCATATTTTAATGGTCTTGGTCTTGTCATGGACTCATGTCCATTTGGACTCGGAATTGACTCGTACTCGAACATTTTTTTTTTAGGACTCGAAATTATTCCCGAGTCCACTCGAGTTCAATTCAAAATATTTTTCATGATTATTAATGTATGTTAATAAAATATTTCTTTAAATTGATTGACACGCCCAGTGATTGGTGATTTTCTAGTGCGCAACTGCGCATGACAAATTGTAATAAAATTACTTTTAACACCACCTACTATGTGGCCTTTTTACCCTAAACTGATCATATTTTTTAAACTCTAAGTAAATTCAGTAAAAAAAAAAAAAA